AGCTGATACGGTTCCTCTTTTTGATTGCATAAATTGTCATACGCATCACGGTTATTACTTGACATAGTTTGCAGCACCCCACAGGAGCATAGATGTAGGGGGAGCCCCATCACTTCACTAAAAGTCGTGAATCATGGCCTCTAATGCCATTTTGTGAATTTAATTCTCCATTCACACATTTAGTGGGAGTCTCTACAATCATGGCTTCAAAATCTCAGTTATATTTCAATCTTTTGTAAGCTCTAATTGGGTTGTCATCAGTCACCAAAAAGTGAGAGATTGTAAGTGCAATTAAGCCCTAATTATGGGTTTTGGTGATAATGACCACGCAATTAGATAGCTAATGAGATCTATCGAGTTGATAAGTAGGTGATACACAAAAGAGCATTTTACATGAAATGATGGAGCCCAATTACACATGATCACGATGATGAACTCAAAGGCGTTTATTTCTTTTTATATTTTGAATTTAAGTATAGGAAAAGCCATACTACAAAGAGGATACAATACACAAGATTGAATGAGCAACCAAGTGCTCAACTTATCCACAAATACATCATCAGATCTTTAGCCATGACAACAAGTTCTTTCTTTGCTAACCTTGTGTTGTTAGGCTGGTGCGGTAGTGTCGCGCCTGAACAGAGGCACTGCCATAGAGAGACATGAGCCACCTTACTACCGTGACTTAACTAACCTTTGGGATGAAGGGGTATTTATACCTTCTTCTCTCTCTCTCTCTCTCCCAACCTCTCTCTCTTCAACCTCTAGACAACCAGACCGACATCAACAACCCTTTGCTTAGTTCTCTCTCTTCTCCATTGTTGCCCTCAAGCTCTCAAGAATTCCTTTGTGATTTTCTCATCAATCCTTGAGAGAAAAAGGCTCCAAACTCGATTAGAGAGCAGATCCACTTGTTTTCCAAACTCTAAGAGTATTTGGTTCATGTTTTAGCCGGTGGATTGAATCTATTACTCTTAGAGCTTGCTCCTAGCTGGCTAGAGCATTGCCCGGTGAGCTTGCCAACTTATGTGGCAGCTCGGGAGGTTTGTAATCACACCATTGATCTAGTGAAATACTGCTCATCTCAAGAGTTAACTCTCTTGACTTGAGAACAAGGTAGGGTTGCAAAGCCCAAGCCTTAGTGGCTAACCTCAACAACGTGAAGGTAGAAAAGCCTTAGTGGTGAGTTGAACCACGGGATAAATCATTATGCCACTTGTGCTTGTGTTTCATTTTTTGCAATACTTGTTCTTGTTGTGATTTCTAGGGTTTGGTCCCGATCTATGTGTATAAGCCTCTCCAACTACTTTCTGTTGTTAATCTAGGCTATACTCTACCTCTGGAAGCTCAGTAATTTCTCCGATCTAAATTTCCTTTGGTAGATTTTGAATTGCTTCACGAACTTATTTGTAGGGGCGGCAGTGCCGCTGCTGAGAGCAGCATTGCCACGTGTCGAATTTGATAATTTGCTTAAGTTTGTTTTAAACATGCCTATTCACCACTATCTAGGCTTATCAGAGATCCTACAATTTGAAACAACAGTTCTTAAGCATCTAGCAAATTTTATAGACGCCACTTTGCCTCGATCACCCCACCTGCCCCATTCCTTTGTATCTAGAAATCAAAATGCATGCCTCAGTTAAAATTCCTTGCTTGGCTCCTCCTTGTTGATAGGCTCAACACCCAGAATGTTCTTTGAATACGTCATAAACACCCGAAAGAGGGATATAACTGTGTCATGTGCCAAAACAACGTTGAAGAGATGGCAATGCATCTCTTCTTTAAATGCCCTGCAAGTGTAACTCAATGGTTCATAGTCAACATTCAATGGAATGTACAAGGTAGCCTCCACCATATGCTAATTCAGTAGAGGGCCTACTTCAACTCTCCCTATTTCATCGACATTTGTGATACTTGTTGCTTGGAGCATATGGAAGGAGAGAAATGAATACATCTTCAATGGAAAGGCACCATCAGTTGCAGCATGGAAGGCAATTTTTAGAAGTGAGGTTAAACTTCACTTGCACCAGCTCGTCCCAATGATCGTTATGTAATTATGAATTGGCTTGCACTTTGTAATTCTCTTTCATTTTTGTGTGGCGGCTGCGACCGCTTCCTAGCCATTTCTGTTTGGCTTGGCCCTGCGTGGCCTTTTCTATCTTTTTGGTAAGCTCATGTACTCATTTTGTTAGCATCTACTCCCTTCGTCCCAAAATATCATTTTGGGTTACGTGATGGTCAAATATTCTTAACTTTGACTAGATTTATAGAAAATATTAGCAGTATTTATGTTTACACCAAAATTTGGAAAAGAAGAACGCGGGAACTCGAAGCTTCTAAGAGTGTATCATCAAGAAATCGATCAGATGTGAATCGAGATTGACTGGTTGTGATGCAGTGTCGGAATCGGCTATTTCATAGATGATGTCAGCAAACAATGTCAATGGACTACGTACGGATGACGTTGGGGAAAAAATGTCAGACTCTAAAAAAGGGAAAGAGTAGAGTCCAAATTATCTTAAGTTAGGAATGTTTTTTTATTCCAAGAATTGTAATAAGTCATATTTGGGTAGGATTCATGTTTAGGTTTCGGATATAAATATTGGACCCCGGCTATTTTAAAAAGATAATCCAATCAATCAATACCAATTACTTTTTCGGCTTCACGCCAACCCTTAGGAGTAGGAGTACTGTAGATCTCGACGAGTTCTTCAACAAGCAGGGCTGTATCGATCCGGTCAACCTCCGGCTTGTCTGTAAGTACCGTCATGGCTTATACTTTTGTTTGTAAGGCTGTATCGGTCCGGCCGACCTCTTATAAGCTCTAGTATAAGTTAGTTATCGATCCTTATCTAGTTCAAGTATGCTGCATTGATTAAGTTCGACCTCCACTGCTCGAATTAGATTAAGGTCAAGTTATCGGCTCTGCCTAAGGGGGGCATCTTTCGGGTAGATTCATTAAGTTACCGATCTTGTTGATGTTCTTATTGGTATTAGTTTTAGCAATATCATCCTACCCGATCGAGATCGATCTAGATTGGCCTTACATCCTTTTAGTCCATCGTTTATTTTGTCACATTGGATGGTTCTTACTTCAAACAATAGATTATGTTTTATCGGCCGTTCTACTTCGATCTCGATCGTGTATAGTATGCGGCTAAGGCATGTCTGATCTTGAGAAGGTTTACTAGCTAGTTGAATCTGGTTTATAGCTCGCTATTATGGCTGTAACGATCCGATCGATCCCCCACTGTTAGCACTTTAAATTAGAGTATGCTAGTTGGTAGATTTGCTTTCAACTAAGCGTGACCTTGGATGTTTGCTATGCCCGCATCGACTAAATAGTCGATCACTCGTACTTTAACGCTTATAGTGTGTCTTCATGATTCTGTTAAATGTGAATAGATCTGTTTATTTTAAGAGTTTAATATGTTATCTTTATCATGGCTGCCATCGATCCGGTCGAACCCCACTCTTAAGGATAACATGTTAGATCTGATGAGTCTATAGATCTGTCCATATTAAACAGTCGATTGTTCACATGTTGTAATCAATTTTCTACCTGAATCGACTATTTTAGCCGATTCGCCTATGCTTTCACACATATAGCATGTTTTTCATGAATTTGTCAACATATAGATGGTTTTTATGGATTTTTTGGTTTTAGTTTGTTATCATTATCATAACTGTATCGATCCGGTCGAACCTCACTGTTGATGGTAACAAATTAGATTCAGATCGTTTGTAGATTCATTTGTACTAGACAGTCGATGTATTCGCATGTTATATCTTTTCTCATTAGACTTATCGGCTCAATGCTTTACACCGGTTATATCCACCTAGCTGATGATGTTACTTATATCTAGGTGCATTGTACTTGTTATCATAAATCAATCATGACCCGTGAATATCAAAGTCCTTAATAGTCGATTCCTTCTCGTATCGGCTATTTAGTCGATTTTTCTATCTGGCTACTCCCAAAGTGGCACACTTAGAACTGTCTGAGCAAAACCGATATGTTCCACCCTAAATTACTGATAAACTTTCTCTACTTATTAATTGCAGGTCAAATTGACTAGCACGCCTTTAGAAATTCGCAGGATCGACTGGTCCTGCGTTGAAGTCAGGCAGATCTCCAGATCGTTCTGGCTTGCTGCATGTCCACCGGTGCGGCTACCACGTTTTCGTGCCAACACGCGTCATGGCACGCCCTTGGGAATTCGCAGGATTGATTGGTCATGCGTTGAAGCCAGGTAGATCTCTAGATCGTTTCCGGCTTGCTGCGTGTCCACCCGGCGTGGCTACCACGTTTTCACGCCGACAATTTGTATCTCCAAATAAGTTTATTATGAAAATAGATTCAATGATTTATCTAAAAATATTAATTATGTATTATAAATATTTGGTCAAAGTTAAAAAGATTGACTTTTCGAGAAGCGAGAATGACACTTATTTTGGTGCAGATGGAGTAGTTAACTATACTCTCTGTTTCTTCTTTTGGTGACAATACAGTGCTAGGGGAGCAAGCTCCATAGTTTTTCTTAAAAAAATGTATGTGTATGTTTACTTCGCCCTCAATTATGAATTATAAAATGTTTTTGTATTTCTAGATTCATTGCTCTGAGTATGTATTTAGACATAACGTATATCTAACTGTATAAAAATATATATAGGAAAACCGAAATATTTATAATTTTAAACGGGGCTTTAGTAATTGAAAAAAATATTCATCACATTGTAAATAATGAGGTGAGGCGAAACTCAAATTGTGGTAGGAGATGTAAGGCGCCGTGTCGTGTCAGGCCCGGCAGGGGAAAAGGGACAAATGGCCTAATGGGAAAAGCCCAAACCGAGGAGCTAACTCAATCAGAGCTGACCCACCGAATCAGAATCAGAACAAGGCCGGAGGAACCAGGCGACACAAGGGAAAGGGGGAGCCACCGGACCGCACCGCCACCTTCCCTTCTCCCGGCGACCTCCAGGCTCCAGCCACGGCGCCCATGGCGTCGGCGAAGCTGCTCTACATTGTGGTGGTTGACGACAACGCCTCCTCCTTCCGATACACGCGCTCCCTCCTCCACAGCACCCTCCAGCTCATGGGATGCAAGCCACGCCACGCCTTCGAGGTCCGGCCCTCTGCCTCTTCGCCTTCGATGCCGATCTCCCCGGACCTCCCATCTTCCATGTGCTTTTTGTCTGATTGGATCCTCCGTTCCGTCTTTATCTCTTGTAGATCAGCCGCAGGGTGTTCGATGTCATCCGGGGTGACCACCAGGGCCATGGCGACACGGCCGCCTCCGCCCGGGTGCAGAGGTACGAGGTCGCCGAAGCCACCCCGACCACAAGCCCCCGCCAGTTCCAGTTCGAGCTATACAAGCGCCGGACCACCGTCCTCCTCCCAAGGGACCTCTTCCTCGACCTCGTCCTCGACGCCCTCGCCCTCTACAAGTACGTCGCCCCCAACCAGCGCGCCGATCTCACGCTCGCCTGCAGGTCTGTCCGCCGCACTCTCTTACTCTCTCTCGTCCCCCTTTCTTCCCCTTCTCCCTTCTGCCACTGCAACTCAACTGTCTCCTTTCCCATCTGTTTCTAATTGCTGAGAAAATAATTAAAAAAATCCCTCATTTTGCGGCAATCTGTTGTTTCGTCGCCGTTCATGCTTGTTCGTCGTTCTGAAACATTGAGCAGCTCATATATACTATAATCGGATTTGTGAATGTGATGCTCAGGACAGATAGTTCTGAACACGGCAGCATCGTGAGTTGATTACTTAGCATAATAATTAATATTGATGTTACTCTTTGAAAGGGATGACTATGCAAAGTATGGCTATTTGCCGATTGGACGAGATTCAAATTGTCTCATTGCAATTGCTATAGGGGCTAACGCCCATAACTGATTTCCATACTTGTGTTATCACTGATGTAAACTGCACTTACTTTTTCAGAACCACAAGCATTCTAGTGCCTCCAGATTGACCACATATATTTCAAAGGGAACTTTTTAAAGGTGTTCATATTGTATCATTCTCCCTATCACTTATATTCTTTCATCTTGCCTTAGGATTCGTGAACGAAAGGAATCTATCACAGTTCTTCTTTGCGGAACTAGTGGCTGTGGCAAGTCTACTCTTTCTACGTTGCTGGTAATAATTTTAATTTTCCTTACCTCAGCTCCTTACTATCTTGTATGCCCTTTTGCTCCTTCTCATCTTCCATTAGGACCTGTCTTAGACCTATTCAGGCAAGGAACATTGTTGTGAGAATGTAACAATAGACTGGAGATGCAGATGAAGTACATATTGTATTATTACTACATGGAAGTCTGTCACACCAGGATAGAACAAAGCAATGTTATTAGCGAATTAAGTTCCCCCTTGATTGGTTTTCTTTTTTCGCGAATCTTCCTCAATAGCTGGTATTGGAAAGACTTAGGAATAGTAAATTATGTTCTTTCCAAAACTAGATTATGTCCACTGCACTTGTGGGAAAATTTTAGCTTTATTTTTTTTCCCTAATTTCTTCCTTACAGAGATGTTAATGTCTCAACAGGGAAGCAGGTTAGGAATTACAACTGTAGTTTCCACAGATTCGATACGTCACATGATGCGAAGCTTTGTTGAAGAGAAAGAAAATCCTCTTCTCTGGGCATCAACTTATCATGCAGGTGAATGTCTTGACCCAGTAGCAGTTGCTGAAGCAAAAGCTAGGAGGAAAGCAAAAAAAAGCTCAGGCGTATCAAGCAGCTCAAATATTGATTATGAGAAAAGTGGGTCTCTTACCGAAAAAGTTGATGAGAAATCAATCGGGAAGAAGCAAATGGCCATTGAAGGTTATAAAGCACAGAGCGAGATGGTGATTGATAGTTTGGATCGGTTAATTACTGCGTGGGAAGATAGGAAAGAATCAGTTGTTGTCGAGGGTGTTCACTTAAGCCTTAATTTTGTGGTATGTGCTTCCAGAAACTATTCATTTGCACTTCTTTCCTTTCATTCCAGCTATTGTTTTTTTTTAGATCGTATTGGGCCAACTATATTGTATTTCTTCTGCTAATAAAGGTGGAGTTGTAACTTTCATGCTTAACATGCCCACTTCATTCCACATTTCCTTTTAATTATTTCAGATGGGTCTAATGAGGAAACATCCTTCGATAATACCTTTCATGATCTACATATCTAATGAGGGTAAGCACACAGAGAGGTTTGCTGTACGTGCAAAGTACATGACACTTGACCCAACGAAAAATAAGTATGTTAAATACATTAGCAACATTAGAACTATCCAGGAGTACCTCTGCAGCAGAGCTGACAAGTACCTAGTTCCCAAGGTCAACAACACTAATGTTGATCGGAGTGTGGCTTCGATCCATGCCACTGTCTTTAGCTGCCTCCGTAGGCGAGGTAATGGAGATCAGTTATACGATTCTGAAGCAAATACTGTTGCTATTGTAAATGAAGAGTACAAAAACCAATGCGTGGCTAATTCCATGAGTTCCAAGGGGATGTTCAAATTGATCCAACGGCTTGGATCCTCAAGAAAGCTCATGGCTATCATTAATGTCGACGGTTCTGTTTCTAAGGCCTGGCCAGTTGAGTCCAGTGGAGGAGATGGAAAATGCAGTTCTGACAACAGTAATAAGAAATCTCTGGGGAATCCAATTTATGGACCTCTAAATATTGGAAGAGCAGAGTCAGTGAATCTTCAGTTTGGCACCTTTGGGATAAGTGCCTGGCCTACTGATACGGGCTGTACAAGTCAAGCTGGAAATGCTGATGAATCATTTACAAATGCTGCTGAAGGTAGTAGCAGACATGTACTATCTTCATCTGGTTCTCCAAAGAAGTCGGATGGACATTGTAAAGAGGTACTAACTGCTACTTGTACCATGGCTGTGCTGTTTCGTCTTTCTTTTCTTATCAATGTTCTTTGAAAGGCTAGTGACCTATTTTGAATTTTGTTTAATACTTTTTGGGGCTAGATCAAAGAGCCACCAGCAGCATATGGCAGCGATGAAGAAGAGGAAGAAGAAGCTGATGTTCGGCCTAATTCAGGAAGCGATGAGGACCTAAGTGAAGAAGACAACAGGGAGATCGATGGGGAGGTGAGATGAAGTCTTTATTTGGATTGTTATGGCCTTTTTGTTTTTTTTTATCCTAAACAGTAGGTAAAAGGATTCACCCATGAGTTGCTTCACTGTACTCTATGCTCTGGATCCCATTGTAAGCATATTTGTGGATACTTGCATGGCAGATGGAAGGATCTGTTGACGAGGACTGCAACAGGTCTGATGAGGAATACGACGACCTGGCCATGCGGGACAGTCTGGAGAACGGCTATTTAACTGACGATGGCGTCTTTCATTCTGGTTTAAGCAAATCTTCAAGCGGCAAGTTCTTTGGTAGCAATCAGCGAAGCCACAGCATGCCAAAGAAACACCAAGAAAGTGTTGGTGTTCCTGAGACAGCACGCTCTTCTTCTGCTGCAGTCCCTGCCGGTACAAGCAGCAAGCGGCATGCCGCTAGAAAGTGGAAGCGCTCGCTGAGTGACTCATTCCGTTCACGGCCACGGAGTGCCCCGGAATTGGTGTCAGTATGCAAGGGATCACCGCCCGTGCCTGTGGCTCCAGATGAGAGGTAGCCGATGAGCTGCACAAGACGTATTGTGTCATGTTTCTTTACCATAAATCGCAACGGGAAATACGAATATTATTATCTGAGGCATCATGGATGTGAAAATAAGGTAATATGCTACTGATTTTGTGAGGGGGGGGGGGGGGGGTTGGTTTGTGTGATGAAGTAGTCTATCATTATCTCACTTTTTAGCTTTCTTTTGTTTGTGGAATAGAATGAGTTGATCGATAAACAGTTCACCATCTTATTTTTCACAAGTACTATAAGGAATGAGGTTATTTCACTGAATTCGAGGAATAAACTCATGATACATGATTATTTGAGTTTATTCTGCTGGCCGGAAAAACGGTGCTGATGCTGATCTGTTGTGTGAGAAAAACAAGCCATACAACTTTGTTTATTACCTTAGAATGACATTCTTATACATGTTTTAAACTTTACCATAGGCCATTATATTATATTATATTATATTGCATACCGATCGGTGGAGCGGCCGGGTGGTTCCTGTCGCCTAGTACTATCGACGGCGACTTCTTATATTCATGTATTGAATTGACTGCTCATTTCTTCCTCTGCAAGTGACCTGGTCCTGCCTAGTACTATCGCTTTCTCGAATTCACGCAGTCACGTTTGCGTGTGTTCCTGTGCAATTCTGAGTTGCCCGTCACCTTTGTAGAAAGAATATAATTTAGCTTAGTATCATATTTTAGTATCTTAAATTTGGCCAATTATAATAAAACAATATTAATATTTATGATATCAAATAAATATCATTAGATTAATTACGAAATGTATTCTTATAATAAACTGATTTAAAGTCATAAATATAAATATCATTCACTATAAACTTAGTCAAATGTGAACCACTTTAACTGGCAAGCAACTTATAGTTGTATTTTTTTTTTGATAGAGGGAGTAACCGGTAGTCACCAAGAGTCCGAGACCAAACCACTGAGGCACTGCCTAACAATGATAACACATGCCGGTTCGCGATCAGTAGCACACCACTAGAGGTACATCTTGAACTCTTATCTCTCCTTTGCGGATTTTACCATGCTCACATTTCGGCCCCCATTTACTAGCGCTCCTAGAGTCGCTCCGAGAGTAGTTTTGCGGCTCCACCTAACAAACAGGGCAAGGACTGCAAATCATACATGCTCTCAGAAGAGTGAATCCTCCGAGGGAGCTTAAAAATGTGGCTTCAACCAACTCCTCCATCCGAATGGGCGGGTCCTTCCCGAACTATCCCTCATCCATGCGGGTGGGCTCGACGAACAAAGGCACTGGGGCAGGCGGGACAGAGACGCCGGGTTGGGTGGCGCGAGGGCAGAGTCGTGTGCAGAGGCGGAGTCATCGAGGACATAGTCGTGTGTGAAGGTGGAGTTGTGCGTGAGGGTGGAATTGCAATGGCCAGTTGAAGTCATGAGGTCGCGACTGCAAACCAAGCTAGGTAGAGCAGGAGTCGCCGGTTGGGAGGAAGGAAGCCAGTGGAAAGGAGAGGGGCGGCAAGATAAGCGGCCGACAGATTCAGACCATAGAAATGGATGGTGGTCGAATAAAGAGGATAAAGGAAACAGGGAGGGGGAAAAGAAATAAATAAAGGAAGAAAAAAGGAAGAAAGAAAAAAGAGATGGGTACTTTAGACATTTTACCATTTTTACCTACTAGGAGAAGATGTTCATCCAAACGTTTTACTAAAATAGCTTCAGCTACACTAGTGGAGCTAAAGCTAAAAAAAATCTTCTTCACCGATGAAACATAGCTGTACCAAACAGTCCTTCCCTGTCTCAATCGAGCTCTTTATCTCTTCTTTGCAGTTTCACCATGCTCACAGCTCCAATTCACTAGTGGAACTTGTTTTTCGCTTCAGATCCACGAACAACTTTACTGGTGAAGCTGGAGCTGCTTTGGTAGACTGTTTGGAAAAACAGCTTCACTTGTTTTATCATGCATGGTTGAGAGAAATCAGTTGTATAAGATGCCCCTATCTATCTGACTTGTAATAGTTAAAGTTGTATGTTTGTATAGTATATGGTTTCTTATTGGAATGCATTTGAATTTAAAAACATTTTTTAAAAAAAAAATACGTAGTAGAAGGAAGCGATATTTGTTTACATAGCATAGTCATGACCCATTAACAAATGTACACATGTCAAACAACACATATCATGTTGTAATACAAACACATATGCTTATGATGATCTAGAAAGAAAAATTGCCCATGCAAGATCATCTCAGACTTTACCCATGTACCGAGCCCTAGATTCCGAAGTTGATGTATCAGCCGCATGGTGTGAAGGAAAATTCTTTTTATAACTTAGAGGTATAGTGGGCACATAACCAGGATTCTGATCGTATTGACGAAAATCTTTATTGTCGTAATGGTTATCATGAATGAAATTATGTACGCACATGGTTGTAACGACAATGATCTTTTGCCTCTCGATCGCGTAACTCGACATTTTGAGAAGGATCCTCCACTTCATTTTCCACACACCAAATTATTAGCGCTCCACCATATTCTAAATACTTGAATGCAAATGATTAAAGAGCTCTCATTCACCACTTGGAGCAAGACCCCTCCTCCAATCTAGCACATGGTACCTTTCACCTTTATATGATGCCAGGTATACAGGTCTATTTGGGTATCCGACATCAACATGATAATATTTCCATGCGTACAATTGAGTAAAATTGAAGGTTATGTGACACACATGTCAAAAAATTTGATCCACACACTTGTGTAAAAACAAACATGTTATCTATACATACCTAGAGGGAGTGTGGGAATTTGTCATGATCATGCCTAAGTGCATGAAAGAGGCACTTGTGTCATGCATAGATCCGACCTGCCCAATAGATGCATACGTGAACCGCATGTCAAAATCCACAATAGCAAGAACGTTTAGCGTCGCTTTGCCATTTCGACCAATGCATGTAATAAGCTCATCCAGAGATGGTGTCACTGAGATATGAGTATCAATGTACCCCCTCCATCCCAAATTATAAGTCATTCCAAGAATCTTGGAGAATTAAAGCATCTCAAGTTTGACTAAAATTATTGAAAGAATTACAAAGATTTATGATATCAAATAGATATACTATGAAAATATAATTAATGAAGAACCAATGATACTTAATTGGTATCATAAATGTTATTATCTTATCATATAAATTTGATCAAACTTGAGATGCTTTAACTCTCCAAAATTCTTGGAATGACTTATAATTTGGGATGGAGGGAGTACCATCTAGTGCTCCAATGCAATCTTTAGAATAAGGCATCATTCTACTATCATTACTAATCCTAGATATGTGTTGTAGAGAAGTTAGGATCAATAGGCCTTATGTAGTCCTGACACGCGGACACCAAATAAATCAGGACATCATCAAAATTTTGACTAATTGTCTCACCGGAATGCTTGAATATACCATGCAAAGCACTAATGGACACACCATTTGTCCACAAACTAGAAGAAAGATACCGAGTGATTCCAAAGAATCCATGTGAACAAATGACTCCAGACCATATGTACTCACTGACAAGTCATGCAGCTTGTGAAGCAATGGTGCACTAATTCTGAACATTTTATGGCTTTCACATAGGGTTGTTGAGCTTCTCCATAGTCAAACCAAATCTAGACTTGAGTCCTAGCTTCATTTCAATATATGTCATGTAGTACTTGGTTGAAACAAGGGAACTAGCAAACAAATTATTTTGATTGGGCCACATCAATTCCATAGTATTTGAAATCCACTCATAATCATAGTATTTGAAATCCACTCATAAGAGTATGTACAACCCGATGGGCTCTTAAGGAAAGAGAATAATCAAAGAATTATATAAGAGCCTTAATAATCTACAATGGCAAACACTAATCTTAAGTGTTAATCTATCTATCCATCCTTCAAACCGTAACTTTTTTAACTACAAAATCTCCTAGCGACGGCCGCTTGCATGAGCAGCGATGCTTGGCACAAGCGCCTGCCGAGACGTACAGGGTGGCAAAAAAATGCTAGAACGGCTGTTTAGCGCCTCCCTAAGCACCTGCGTTGTACTTGGCCTAATCATCCATGTCAGTACCAGAATCAGATCTGTGCACACCAAGCAAAAAACAAACATGAATATACCAAAGCAAGGATAAATTCAACACACAAAGATTGTATAGTCAAGTACTCCCTCTGTTTCAAATTACAAGACGTTTTGATTTTTCTAGATACATTTCTTCTACTATATATCTAGATATAGTGTATATCTAAATGTATAGCAAAAGCTATGCATCTAGAAATAGCAAAATGTCATAATTTAAAATCGAGGGAGTACAAAAGAATGGAACTATACCAAAGCAAGGATAAATTTGAAACACATAAATAGTATAGTTAAGTGTACTCCCTCCGTTCCAAATTATAAGAAGTTTTGGCTTTTCTAGATTCATACATTTTGCTATGCATTTAGATATAAGTTATGTCTAGATACATAGTAAAAATTATGTATTTAGAAATGCCAAAATATGTTATAATTTGGAGCGGAAGGAGTACCAAATAGTGGAATCAGATCTGTGCCCCGGAGATGGAGGTACAGTCTGTAGTCTTCTAGCTCATCCTCTTACCTTCACTTGTCTTGGACTGTGCGTGGAATTGAAGCAGGCACGAGAATGAGATGCGAATGCCATTTCTGTGGTGCTAGCGCCGAGTGGCTGGCCGACGAAAGGGCCAGGGTCGTCGGCACTTTACCTCCCACGAAGAGAGGGTGGACCGGTTAGGTCGAGAAGGACACCGCCGGCCGGACCAACATGGCAACATCTACTCCCTCGAGGTAATAATTCGATCGCACTACTCTTCTTACATTCAAACGCTCTAGCCACCAGTGGGCAGTGGCGTAGAATTGCGTTGCTTTTATTTGTCCTACAGAACTAGAACCTCAATCTTTACACTACTCCAGCAACTGAAGTCTGTGTTAGAAAAATGACCTCAGTCCCAAGGACGGGTATACGCCAATGCCCTAAC